CATTTTATGGATCAACCACATTCCGTCCATCGACTCACCTGTCAGTCAACTTTGGGTTTTTTCCACTTTGGGCCTATTAGGCTGTAGCTCATGAGTATTGTGTACAGGTTTGGGTGGGCATATGTTTTCATTTTTCTTGGGCCCATTCCCAGGAGTGAGGTTGCTGGGTTATATGGTAGGTTTACATTACCATTTTAAGAACCTGCCAAACTGTTCTCCAAAGTAGCTGTGGCATTTTACAGTCCCGTCAGCAATGTATAAGAGTTTCGGTTTTCCCACGTCTGTTAGTCTTTTTGGTTGTCGCTGTTTCAGTAGGTAAGTGATATCTCATCATCATTTCAATTTTCATTTCCCTATTGGCTCCTCTTTTGAGCCTTTGTCATGTGATTATTGGCCCATTTGTACGTCATCTTCAGTGAACCATCTAGTCAATCTTTGCCTGTTTCACAGTTGGGTTATCTTCTTATTCAGCTCTAAGGGTTCTTTATATGTTCTGGACATAAGTTTGTTTTTTGTTTGTTTATTCTCTCTCTTTTTTCCATTTCTGCTCTCTTGACCTATGAACTTGTAAGATATTTAAAGAGATATTGGGGTGACTTGATACACACACACGTGGTGAAAGGATTCTATCTAGGTAATTAATATATCCATCACCTCACATATTTATCTTTTTGTGTGTGTGAGAACATTGAAGTTTTACCTTCTTAGCCGATTTCAGCTAGACAGTAGTGTTACCAGCTATAGTCGACATGCTTTACGTTACATCCTCCGACCTTATGTATCTTACAGCTGAAAGTCTGTACCCTTTTTCCAACCTTTTCCTATTTCCCCCGACCCTTGGCCCCAACTACTTTTCTACTCTGTTTCTATGAGTCTGACTCTTTTTAGCTTCCACGTATAAGTGAGACCATGCAATATTTGTCTTTCTCTGTCTGGCTTATTTTATTTAGTGTAATGCCCTCAAGGTCCATCCATATTGTCGCAAACAACAGGACATTCTTTCTTGCTTTTCTGAAGGTTGGACAATATTCCATTGTACATATATGCCACCTCTTGTTTGGCCATTTATCTGGGATGGACCCTTAGATTGTTTCCATATCTTAGCTACTGTGAATAGTGCTGCAGTGAACGTGGGAATGCAGATATTTCTTCTAGATCCTGTTTTCATTTTCTTTTAATCTTTTGAAGAACTTCTGTACTGTTTTCTGTAGTGACTGCCCCAGGTTACCTTCCCACCAGTAGTACACAGGGTTCCCTTTTCTGCATATCTTCACCAGTGTGTATCTCTTATCATTTTGATAACATCCTCACAGGTGTGAAGTGATATCTCATTGTGGTTTTGATTTATGTTTCCCTGATAATTCATGAATTTTGAGCATCTTTTCATACACATGTTGGCCATTTGTATAACTTTGGGGAAATGCCTGGTTCCTCTGTCCATTTTTTTAAAGATTTTATTTCTTTATTTGACAGAGAGATTGAGCACAAGCAGGGTGAGTAGGAGAGAGAGAAGCAGGCTCCTCAATGAACAGGGAGCCCAATGTGGGGCTCGATCCCAGGACCCTGGGATCATGATCTGAGCTGAAGGCAGATGCTTAACCTACTGAGCCACCCAAGCGCCCCTTCTCCATCCATTTTTTAAATTAGATTGGGGTTTTTTGTTGTATGTCTTTGCTATTGGGTTGTATGAATTCATTATATATTTTAGATGTTAACAGCTTATTATAGGTGCTATTTTGTCCCATTTTGCAGGTTGCTTTTCATTTTGTTGATGGTTTCCTCGCTATACAGAAGCTTTTTACTTCTGATGTAGTCCCACTTGTTTATTTTTGGTTCCACTGCCTTTGCTTTTGGTGTCAAATTAAAAAAAATCATTACAAAGACCCACAATTTTGTCAGATATAATTTATAAATATGTTTTTCCAGTCTATGACTTATCTTTTTATTTTTCTTAGTGGTATCTTTTTAATAACAGTTTTATTGAGATGTAGGTCACATACTATATACAATTCACCATTTTGAAGCCTAAAATACAGTTGTTTTTACTATATTCACAGAATTGTGCAGCAATCACCACAGTCAACTTTAGAACATTTCATCGCCCTCTGAAAGAATCCCATACCCACTAGCACTCACTCCTCATTTCTTCCAGGCCCCTATCCCCAGGCAACCACTACTCTACTTTCTGTCTCTATGGATTTTCCTATTGTAGACATTTCATATAAATGTAATCGAATAATATTCGGTCTTTTGTAACTGGCTTATTTCAGTTAGTATAATCTCTTCAGGTTTTGTCCGTTTTGTAGCATGCATCCGTACTTCATTTCTTTATGTGCCAAATCCTATTTGGCTGACCCTTGGACAGTGGTGGGGATGTGAGGGGTACTGACCTCCTGCACAGTCAGAAATCTGTCTATAACTCTTGACTCCCCCTAAACTTAATTACTAATAGCCTACTCTTGACCAGAAGCCTTACCCATAAAATAGTCAGTTAACACATATTTTGTGTTATATGTATTATATGTATTCTTACAATAAAGTGAGCCAGAGAAAAGAAAATGTTGAAGAAAATCATAAAGAAAATACATATACAGGGCTGGGCTGTATTTCTTTATAAAATCCACATTTAAGTGGACCGTGCAGTTCAGATCCATGTTGTTCAAAGGTCAACTGTATCGAGCATTTTTATTTAAATCATTCATCCGTTGATGGGCCCTTGGATTGTTTCCACTTTTCAACTGTTACAGGTAATGCTGCTGTGAACACTTGTGTACAAATTTTTGTGTAGACCTATGTTTTCAGGTATGTACACGTAGAAGTAGAATTGCTGGGTCGAATAGCACTCCATGTTTAATCTTGCTGAGGAACTGCCGGACTGCTTTCTAAAGCAACAGGAATGCACCATTTTCTGTTCCTACCAGCAGCATGCAAGCACGCAAGGATGTTCCACATCCTTGTCAACACTTGTTATTATCTGTCTTTTTAGTGTAGCCATCCGAGTGGGTGTGAAGTGGTGTTTCATTGTGGTTTTGATTTGCATCTCCCTGATGGTTCATGTTGTCAAGAATTTTTTTCATGTGCTTATTGGACATTTGTATGTCTTCTTTGGAGAAACATCTTTTCAGCCCTTTATCCATTTTTATTAGGTTACTTATCCTTTTATTATTGAGTGTTAAGAGTTCTTTCCGTATTCCAAATACAAGCCCCTCATCTGATAGATGATTTGCAAAAATGTGCTCCCATTCTTTGAGTTGTCTTTTCACCTTCCTAAGGTGTCCTTTGAAAAAATTTTCAATTTTGATGAAATCCAGTTTATTTTCTTCTGTAGCTTGTACTTTATGTGTCATATCTAAAAAGCTGTCACCTAATCTTTTCTAAGAGTTTTTATGGGTTAGTTCTTATGTTTGGTATGTCCCTTTTGAGTTAGTTTTGGTATATAATGTGAGGTAAGGGTCAAAGTTCCTGTCATTTGTATCATGGGAAGATCTCAGAAAGTATGTTAAGTGATAAAAACAAATTACAAAATGATATGCATGGTATGATACCATTCATGTAAAATTTAAAAGCAAGAATATCATAGATTATTTGTAGTTATATATGTACACACAGGTAAAAAAAATTCACCCCAAAATATTTGATAATCACTGCCTCTGAAGGGGTGAGAGGAGGGACTGGGATTGGACAGGATTGGTGGTCAAAAGGGTCTTCACACTTATCTGCAATATTTTTAGGTTGACCTTGACAAAATATGAGCAATTATCAATGGGGGTGCTTTATTATGTTAGACTTTTTATCCTCCTATATATTTTAAATTTCTCAAAATATACATACATGTACTCCTGCAAATCAAAGTTAAGAGCCATGGAGAACAAATCATTTCTGGTGAGTGCAGCGCCCACACTGGCTGAAGCATTTAGGTAAGGCTTTGTGCAGATAAGCTGTCAGCACACTTGGGGCAGATACTGTTGTGTGGGGAGTTTCTGAACTAGAACCCCAAAAGATAAATCTCTTTGTTTAACTCATTTGCACACTTTGGCTTATGTTTTCCCAGTTCCGTTTCCACAGAAAACCCACTGTACACCTCACCCAGTTTCCCTTGCTCTGAATGGCAGCAGGGCCCAAATCTCAGGGAGCTCCCTTTAACTAGAATCTTTCAGTGTTATCCCATGACTCCAAGCTTTCTCCAAAACTGTAACAGAGCCTTCACAAGGAAAGTTCAGTTTCCATTAAACATGTGTCCCTTCTCACTTAGTCCTCATGGAATGCTCTGAAAGGCTTCACTGTGCGTTTGATAAGTGCAGTGACCTGGCCCCTGAGACACAGCCTGTGGCCAAGCTCCTGACACATGCTTAGGCACATGGTTGCGGCGGTCTGGGGGCCGCAGGGGTGCAGAGTGCGCGTCATTGCCTGTGGAGGAGATGGGGTTATTCCCACATCTCCATGAGCTGTGTTGCTTGACACAAAGCTTACTCTTTTCATCGTGTTTTTCTTCCATAAAATGGGTACCAAAATGTACGCCCTTTCTATTCACAAGTTGTTGTGAGGGTCAAATGAGATAATGTACATAAATGTGTTTGCAAAAAAAAAAAAAAAAAAAAAAAAAAGGAAAAGGAAAAGGAAGATGTTTGTGTATCATTTCTCAACTGCGTGGCCTAACCCCGCTCCGATCCTGGACCTGCTACTGTGCTCAGTGTACCTGCAAGGCACCCCTCCCACCCCCGTGCTAGCCTCTACTTTCCCTCCCACTTTTAGTCCAGTCTGATGGTATCCTCTCTCCTTCTCCCTCCCCACCTTCCTTTCTTTTTTTCCTTTTCTTCCTCTCCGCAGTCCTGGAGGCAGCCTGACTCCGTCCTTTCAAAGGTGATCCTGCAGGGTACTGCCCCACTGTGTGAACCGCAGCTGTGTCGCTGGGCTTAGACTGACTGAGAAAAAGGCCTTTCCCCGTCCTCAAAGAGGGAAGCTGCCCGAGATAACGTGTTGCATCTCTCTGATTCTCCCAGGCTCAGGCCACAGGGTCACCGCACACGTCGCCCACGCACGGAGGCAGCCGCCCGATGCCCATGCCCGTGCACTCCACGTCCGCCGGCTCCACCCCCACACACTGCCCGCAGGACCCACTGAGCGGAGTCGGGGGAGACCTGCAGGAGGCCTTTGCCCAAGGTGAGCTTTGGGGGCAGGATACAGGGCAGAGCTAGAGGGGTCTGGCAGCACCAACAAGATCCCCGCCGAGATTGTTCCAGGTTCTTTTCTTTTGCGTGGGTAGCTTGCAGTGATCAGACTTTCACAGACGGTGTAGAGTCAGGTGCTGGTCCCTCGTCACCAGACTGGCTGCTGTCCCGGCGGGGGGCTGCAGGCTCTGTTTGTGAAGACCAGGCCTCTGCGGCTTCCGTGCCCTTTTCCCCCCCGGGTTTTGGGACGTGACTTGTCCTTTGCGCTTTGCCGCCTGCTCTGGAGGAATCAGATGGAACAGTTCCCGAAGTCGTGCTCTGCCTGGAAATCTGTAGAGCGAGTAAAAGGAGGAAGAGTGGGACTGCCCACAGGACCGTGCTGCCACCCGTCTGACCAGCCGGCAGCTGCCGTGTCACGGAGGCGGGGAGGCCGCGGCAGCTGAGCGAGTGTCCTCTGGGCAGAGACGGAACTGGCTCGTGGAGCCCCGCAGAGTCCAGTCCTGCCTCGGGCCCCCCCCCCCCCCCCCCCCCGCCCCGGTTGGTTCTGGAATCCAAGTCTCCGGACTGCGGCCGGGAAGCGCGCAGCCCACAGGGTCCCGCTCTTCAGGGAGAGAAGAGGGAGGAGGACAAGGCCTTGGGGACCTCACGCGGCCCCGCCGTCTGCTCTGACTGCCCTCAGGTACGAGGAGAAACCTCCGCAATGACCTGCTGGTGGCCGCGGACTCCATCACCAACACCATGTCGTCCCTGGTGAAGGAGCTCCACTCAGGTGAAGCCCAGAGCTCCCGCCCGGCCTCCCGCGCCCCCTCGCGTCCCCGCGCCCTCCTCACTTGCACCCGCGTGCTCGAATGTTCGCCCGCAGCCGCTCCGCTTGCGCTCACCGCTCCGTCTTTCCGCCTTCCAGGAGCGCCCCGACGGCCTCCCGCGGACCGCGCCCGCCCTGCTCGCGGTCACGCACACGCTCACGCCCTGTTTCTCTGCAGGCTCCGCCCTGTAGCACGAGCGCGGCCCAGCCCCCGCCCTACCCCTGCGCCCCCCACCCCCCCGACCCGCGACCCCCACACGGCGCGCCGGCCACAGCCGCTCTTTCCCCAGCGCTGCTCGCAGCCTCACGCGGAAGCTTTCCTGGATGACCAGACCGAATCGGCCACAAAAGCTTCTGGATGTTCTCAAGCTGCCTTTCTGCTCTCTCCCATTTGACTTGATCTTGAAACCCTCTTCTCTCCTTTTGTCGGTGACTAGGCTCTGGTCTCACTGAAGCTGTCACCTGCGTCTGTCGCTCTTCGCCCTCTGTTCGGTGGTCAGTGCAGCTCCTTCCTCGTCCCTCCCGCGCTTAGCTCTTTCAGTGACTGTCCGGAGACCCTCACCGTATTTTTCCCTTCATGTAAAACCCAGGAAAGAGAGAAATCATAAAAGGCAGTTCCCCTATCGTCATATTGTCAAGAATCCCCATGACTCCCTTAGCTTTGTAACTGCCAGATGTTTACTAATTTGTTTACAGTGGTCAGATTCCCATGTTCCCTATTAGACAGACAGGTTCTCTCCCTGAGTATACCCATGGCCCTCTGTTGTTTCTTTTCAGCTAATATAGTGCTTTTAAATGCCTTGGAGTCGCTTAACAAGGCTATTAAATAAAAATGTAAAGCAGGTTTTCCATGGGCTGTTCAAACACAGCCACTGAAATCATCAGTCCCCACTCTGATGGCAGGGAAGCCTCGGGTATGTCCTCAGACCTTTAAAGGAGAAAGCATATACCTATGGCTGGCCCGTGGTTCCCCCTCAAACCTGCTGATTTCCACTAAGAAGAGAGTAAGTGCATGGCCTGGGTTGGTTTTCCCAAGGCAGTTAAGATAAGATGCTGGTTCTCCCTTGCAGGGAGTGTGAAGGGGATGCTGCCTCTGTTCTGGTACCATTTCTCAATCCTTTTTTTTTTTTTTTTTTTAAATTTATTTATTTGGCAGAGAGGGACAGCGAGAGAGGGAATACAAGCAGGGGGAGAGGGAGAGGGAGAAGCAGACTTCCTGCCAAGCAGGGAGCCCGATACAGGGCTCCATCCCAGGAGTCTGGGATCATGACCTGAGCCGAAGGTAGATGCTCAATGACTGAACCACCCAGGCGCCCCTTCCATTTCTCAGTCCTTGTCAGAAGCACTGCCCTCCCCACAAACACACATAAGTAGAAGAGGTGACTGCCTTCAAGATGACTTCACAGGTGATTAGAAAGTCCCTTCCATAATATAGTTTGCCACAGGTGCCAGAAATCCAACTTTTAGAAGGAATTTCAGGCCGTGGAGATTAATCACATTGTGCCTCCCGAACACTTACTAGGATTTGGCCAAGATCAGTAGCTCATGAACCCATCACACTAGGAGGAGAGATAACTGGACACCATCAAACACACAGCACCCAGAGACCAAATATATTCACAAAAATGTAAAAGGTTATAGGCAGTCTCTCGTGGCAGGAAAGGATGGTTTTAACACAGTTCTTTGATGTCTTCAGAAAGTACCTTAGAGATCACGTTGTCAAGTCCTCTTTGGAAAGGCAGTGAGTGATTATCAGAAAACCAATTGCCTGAAGTTGTGCATCTTGAAGGGGCAAAGGCCAGTCCTAGAACTCAGGTGTGGAGGACACACAGCAGTGCTCTTGCTGCCACAGTGCCCTTCTGCCCACACAGGACTGGAGGTCAGGTTCGCAGCCCCACGAGGGCCCCTTTCACTGATGCTCTGCTCTCTCAAGCCCTGAAGTCCACGGGTAGGTGTGGACTAAGTCTGCATGTGACTCTGCACCCGCACAGACTGCAGAGCTAGATGCCCCTTAGGTGTGAGGCTGCCAGTTTCTGGGTGAATGGAAGGGGCCCACCCAGCACCCACGCATGTTTACTCTCTTTATTGGGGGTTGTGTTAGGATGAGGTGAGATACTCAAATTGTCTTTAAATATTTTCCATCCCATGTGCACATACTATTTATAGCCAAAGCTGCTCCTCCTCATCTTTTTAAAACTATTTTCACAAATAATAGAATCTTAGGGTTGGAAAAGATCCTAGAAGTCATTTAATCAGCTAGCTGCCCAATATAAAAGTCCTCGGAATGTTTCCAGCGAGCTCACTCATGACCCGCTCTCATCACCGTGAAGTTCTTCCTTATCAGGGAGCCAAACTTTGCCTTTCTGTAAGCAGTTTGTCCTCATCCCATCGTCTGAAGCTACGCAGAGTAGGTTTAGGACCTTCCGTTCCTGTTAATTTAGGCTTTCCAGTATTCGATGACAGGAAGCATGGCTGTCCCCAAGCCTTCTCCTCTTAAAGGTGACTGTTTGCTGTTCCTTCAGCCATTCTTAATGTGACGTGCTTTTCACTTCACCATTTTCTTGCCCACATTAGGATGTGGCCAAGAGCATCAAGGCCCCAATTCAAAGTGAGTTCCCAGAGCTAAGCACACTTCTCCCTATGACGGGGGACCAGCTCCCTGTGGAGCACAGTGACCTGTAGCCTCCCTGAGCAAGGGCCCTGGGAAAGCAACCCGAGAGGGCATTAGCTTCTTCCACACAGCCACTTTGCTGTTCAGTCACTTTAAGCTTGTTGTCAGCTAAAACTTCTGGTTTGGGGTTGTCTTCTCTTAACAGAAGCTGGTGTCAGTCTAGTTATTCCTGACCATGTACTCTGACAGTTGCTTTCTTGAACCGGGATGCAAGATGTTAGGTGTATCCCTAGTAGGTGTGGTCACCTTCGGGAAAGCAGGCATCGAGAAAAGGCAGCGACCCCCACCCCAGTCACCAGGGAAGCCAGCCACAGAGCCTGCAGCAGGACGGGTGACCTCTCAGCCTGCACTGCCCCGGGGGCTCAGAGCTCGTGGGTAAAGAGCGCCAGCATGTGTGCCGCGCACAGGGCAGGCCAGGTGCGTGTCCGCACCCTTGGAGGCCCGTGACCCCGAGCCTTGAGCTAGGGCTTCATCCCAAGCCTGCTAAGTCATTCTCTTCACCCTCCTCCTATGCTTGTGCTGTGCTGAAGGGTCACTGGCCACCTTGGACTTGTTTTCACAGCAGAGGAAGGTGCAGAGGAAGAAGAGGAGAAGAAGCAGGATGGGAAGGACAGAGGTAAAGGGAGCTCTCAGGACCCCTAGTTGGAGTGGGAGGCAGAGCTACATTGCTCTTGAGGGAACGCTCCCCCCTTTTGTTTCTGCTTTTCTTCCTGCTGCCCGTTTCCCCAAAGCTTCTAGGCCCCCAAAAGGGCCTTCGGCCTGCTTTTCCCAACTGACCATCAAGGAGGTGGTGGCGTCAGGCGATCCACAAAAGCCTCCTGACTTCCTAACACTGTGATAGAGGGTTCGGATGTAGGAAGTAGATACCAGGAAAGCACACGACATGACCCTTTGCCTCCAGGAGTTTATAATATAGTTAGGGAGGCAAGACAGAGATATGCAAAATAAATAGGAGATAAAATGAAGTGGCAGGAAAAGTTAATCATCAAACTCAGAGTGTGTGATTACAAACACGAGAAGGGTTTCTGAAAAGGAAGAGATTATTGTGGGCAGAATAGCTAAATGGTTTTGTGACCTCAACGGAAGAATTAAAAGCAATAAAGAAAGGTATCAGCAGAGGAGAGTAATGCCTTCCTAGTTTTATTATGCATAAAACGTGCTTAATAACTTGTTATGTACAAAGAGCTGTGCTAAATGATGTCCGTGTATTATCTAATTAATACTTAACAACCCTCGGAGATACATAATGATGCCCCGATTTTACAAGTGAGAAAATAGGCTCTTTGAACTGGGTCTTTCTGACGCCACACTACACATTCTTCATCTTCATGTGTCTGTGTTATGCTGAACACAGAACGTTTGAGAGCTAGCTGTTGTATCTGTCCGGTATTAATGTCTGTTTCCAGACTCCTCCAAAATGTAAGAGATTTTGGTCTCTCTTGTTCAGGATGTATCCCCAGTGCCCAGAACGGTGCCTGGCACAGAGCAGGGTATCAGCAGATGCACAAATACAGGGAAAGAAGCCAGTGATGTGCTGGAGTGCTTTGTCTGGCAGAGAGTGGGAGTTGCCTGGAGGAGGCTGGGCTGGGGAAGGTGCGCCCACTCCCCCCGCCCCGGCTGGATGCTCTGCTCTGAGCTCACCCTTTCGGTCTGAATTCATCGCCCACGAGGAAAGATTCGAGACAGGGCTCTGGGTGGTACAGGAACCTGCACGGGAGTAGTGGTCAGAGCCGGGATTCTGCCCAGGCGGCTGACGCCAGCACCCACACTTTCTTCTGAGTGGCAGGTAGACTAGGCAGGTGAGGAAAGTCGTAAGGAAGGGTGGGAAGAAGTTGAGTGGGAGCTGCAAGCCAAGCAGCTGTGATGGGAAAGGAGAACGCGTGGGGATGAGGGTCTGTAGCACCGCTGCCCATGGGGGCTGTCGTGGGTAAGAGAGCCGAGCCCCATCAGGACTCTGAGTCTGGAGGAGGAGCCTGGGAGGGGAGGAGGTGCCATGGTTGTCTAGTGAGTCAGAGCAAAGCCTGCAAGGCCATGGACAGTAACTGTGAGGAATTGAGGAGAATGACATATTTGGCATGGCCACCAAAATGTCAGAAGTCGAGGTGCTCCTCTCCATGCTGGAGATAACTAGCGGGGCTACAGGGCATGGTAGAGAGGACCAACTTTCGGGGCTGAGAGTGGACCAGGAAGAAGACAGGAGGGTTGTTGTGCAAGAGGCAAAGAGGGGAGGAGATGCACGGGGATAAGTTTACACTCCATCAACTTGTGCTCCAGTCATACACGCGCACACACGCACAACCCAGCCAGATCCCAGCGTTCATGTGGAATGTTCTCTGCTGAAGACGTAACAGCTGCTGCTTTGGTCTCTCTTCCCTTTCACCCTTCTTTCCCCGTAGCTTTTCCCATAGCTTCCTCTCAGCCTCCCTGCATTCTTTGCAGCACATGGAGGACAGACATGGCTTCCCTCACCCGACGCCTCCTGGACTCAGGGGCCTCTGTCTGCACCCGTCTTCCCTGCCAGTATCTCTCCTTTCTTTCCCTCCTGCTCTCCGTGTCTCTCCATCTCTCTTCCAGTGCATAAATGATCATTTCTGTCTGTCCCTGTGAGAGCCCCTGAGTTTCTGTTTCTGTGGCTTTAGGTGCTGTCCGGAGGGAGTGTTAAGAGTCGGGGTGAGACATGGATAGGGTTTTAAACAAATGTTTGACTCTCAGCATCGTACAGGTCTCAGGATATGTTTTTGTAGCTGTACCGTAGTGGGTATGTGGTTAGGGGTATAACCCAAGTGTTTTTATGAATGGACCTTCCGATTGTCAGCTGTGGTCTGGGCATTTGCTCTTACTGTAGACCAATATGGTAGCAACTGGTGTCACCAGGGCGTCAGGGAACAGTAACTACCAGCCACACAGAGTGCTGGTTTGCTGCTTCAGGGCTGAAACCATGCTGACCTCACATCAACACAACCTGCCCAGTACCCTGTCAGGCAGACATAGTCTGCTCAGCGCAAAAACCGTAAGAACCAAATGGGCACTTTCGAAGAATTCATGACCGAGCTGGACTTCCTGACCACATTCACCCTTACCTCAGCCCCCTCTCTGCCCTCCCCTGGATCCCCGTCTGGCTGCATCCTGGGGAATGCTTCTGCTCCCCTGGGGTGCCCCTCTGACTTGGCCACCCCTCACTGCTCACCTGGAGTGCCGATACTTGTATCCAAGACTACGTAGATGAAACAGACTAACATATTACGGCAGAGCCCGAAATTCATCTCAGCCCCTCCAGAGCCTCATCTTATGCTCCTCTGCCCTTCAGAATTGCCTCTCCAGAACCTGCCACCCACGGTGTTGGGAGCTATAAATCCAGCTTGCATGCTCCGAGAGCGCTGGTGCCTATCTGGTAGACTGACGGCCGTGGCCCTGTGTGACTCCTCGGGCGTTTGAGGGTGCGGGCAGTGTTCAGGATTTCAGGGTGAGCGGGAGTGATTTAGTATTCCCAAGCAGATATGCCTGCAGGCAGGAGATACTGCCCATATCAAAATTTAATTCCTTCTCACGTTCGTCACTTTCAGAACCAAGGGATGGGCTATGCCCCCGATATAACCGCTCCCCAGACTTAGGGCGGCTTCATGTCCGTGTTAGTACTATTGTTCTCCTTCTCCCAAGAGACGGCCCCCACGCCTGTTTTATATTCGCTGCAGCTGCCGGTTGTAGGTAGCGTGACTCTCCCTGCCCTTGCCATACCTGCTTGGGAAAAGTCAGCATCCGGGGCAGCGAGGGGAGAGGCGAGTCCAAAAGCCCTTGGGTCTGTGCAATCCCCTGAGAGAAGACATGGGCTGGTGAGGGGACCCCAGGCGTGACTTCTGTGTGTTGTTTGTGTCCATGCTGTACAGGTTAGCAGAGGAGCTGAGCCAGAGAGGAAGCGCAGGTGAGTACCATGTTCTCTTCTCTCCTCACGGTCCCTCTCCCTTTGCAGCTTATGTCTTCGTCCCCCTCCTCCCTTGCCCTGGTCACACCGTCCAAGCCAGAGCCACCCTAAAGGGTGAAGATTCAAGTTAAGTTTTCCCTTTAAAGAGCCCAGCTGCCACCTTTCCCCTTTGCTGCAGCCCTGCCATCAGACCCTCTTGGCCCCCTTCCCAGGCTCTAACCCATCTTGCGCTCCACTGGGTCTGGCCTGGGCCTCAGGCATGACTTGGTGGTGCCCGGGGCTGGATGTAGCTAGCAGACCAAGACCTGCTGGCTGAAACAGGCCGTGGGACCTCTGCCACCTTGCTCCTGATGGCCCATGGCCACTGTCATTTCTCTCCACGGGTCCAAACCACTGCCAGCACCCTGGGGTTCTGACACCCAGAGCTGTGAGCTGCCACGTACCTGACCGTAGACTGAATTTCCATCCTGCAGGATCCCCCTCCCTCCATAACGCACCCCCCCAGTCCCTCCCTGCAGTCCGGCCAACCTGCACCCTCTGTCCTAAAATGATTAATGCAAGCACAGACCTCCCCAGAGGACAGTGCTCGTTGCTTTAGGGATTAATCTTTCACATCTTTCCATCTAAGGACCTTAACTCTTCTTTCCCCCCAGTTTTGAGATATTGTGGCTTTGGGGCCTGCTCACTAGAAAGAAGGGATGAAAATAATTGGACAACCAAATCTGTTCAGGGGAAGAGTTCTTTCAAGGATGTCCTTGGTTTGGCCATGAGATGTCTTTTTGTTGATCTTGCCTTCCCTCCCGTCCTGTACTTCTGTGTGAGTCAGGCCGCCTTCCCCATTAAAGATCTTCCAGGCCAAAGAACCAGGGCTGCAGCCCCACAATCCCGAAAAAGGAACTTTCTCCGGGCCCTTCCGAGGAGTCCCACCCTGGAGCAGCCTCCCAACCTTTTCCTGATCGCTGCCCCGCACCCCCTACCCGCCATGGGCATCGGGCCCTAGAGGGGTTCTGTTGTGCTTCCGCTGTGGGGCCTGCTGTCTCTGAGCCCGCACCGACTCAGGGATTGTGCGAGCTAGGAGGGGAAGCACGCAAGCTGCAGAAATTCTCCCGCTGCCCTGGAAAGCCCAGGGCCTCCGGGGCTTGGGCAGGGCTCTACCTAATCTCACTGCACCGTCAGGCAAGGCCCTTCCCAACAGCAGGCCTGGGCTGCCCCAGCCAAGGAGAGAGTCAGGAGCTGACTTGCCCCTCAGGAGCCTGCCAGAGCCCCTCTCCCCGGGGCACAGAGGAACTGGGGATAAGCAAAAGGCACGTCCAAGCCATCTGGCCCACCCTCTCCACGCAGATGAGGAAATGCAGGCCCTCGGCCTGGGAGCTTGGTGCCAGAAGTAGACGCAGAGTGGCGTCCCTCTGACCCTGTCAGGAGTTACGAGAAACTCACTGGTGGTAGAGTCAGATGAAAAGTGTCAAAACTCAGGTGGCTCAGTTTCCCAGACCCTTAGGTTCTGCCCTCCTCCCGCCTGAGGCTAAGGCTGTCTTCCCTTCCACCCAGTGTTCACAGGCACCTCTCCAAGCTCGGTGCCTTCCTCAGTCATGATCCTTCTTCCCCACAAAGCACCACCTTCCAAACTTGTCCTGTGAACCCAGTTCTTTTTTCCTGGAAACATTTCCTGACCCCGTGACCTCAGCAACGACTGCAAAAACTCCAGGTACCCCAGAAAAGAGAATACCTCTTTCCCTAAAAGGGGGCATGAGTGTTATCAGTTCTTTGAAATCTCCGGAGCTGAAAGGTAAGCATCCCAACAGCCCCGCCGCAGGACATTGTCTTGTCCCCAGCAGATGTTAGCTTCGGCTCACAGGCCCTCCGTGGCGCCCGTGAGTAACATCGCGTCTGTCCTGCACAGGGGGCATGCGGCAAGCTGGCGTTGACACGAGGAAGGCGAGGCCGTCCCCCAGAGGCGCATTCCTGTCCATCCTACGGCTGCACACCTGGACCAGGCTTGCAGGCTGCCAGACGTCACTGCCGGGCAGGGAGAGGGGAGCCCGAGCCGGTGGGAAGTGGGAGGGGCCGCCCCCCGCTGCCAGAGGGCCTCCCCTGTGCACAGCCCTGCATGAACCAGCATCTTCATCACTCCCCTCGGGCCCAGGTCTCATCTCTGCAGCAGGAACTTTCCGGGAGGTCGAAAAGAGAAAAGAAACAGCACGAATCTCCTGTGTGTGTGACCTGATGGCGTTCTTGCCGGCACGTGGGGTGCTCCCCGGGGTGGGGGCCCAAGTTTCCTTCCTACCTTTGACCTTTGAAAACCGACAGAGTTTCTCCCATGTATCGTGCAAAGACAGCTTCAGGCCTTGCTCAGTTTTACAGACACTCACACCCTGGCCACAGCGCTAAAAATAGCCTCCTTCCTTTCTCTCGCACTGGTGAGGCTTCCGCCCGCTCCGGGTGATGCCGCTGCTCTGCAGCCTCGGCGGGCCGCGGGCAGGAGGAGCAGAGAGCCCGGGACGCTTCCTCCCCCGGCAGCCGGTCGGTTCGCCGCCGCTCAGCCTGCGGCCGGCCGGGCGGGGCGCGCTGACCCGTGACCGCCAGAGGGAGCGCTGACCCCCGGGCGCCGAGCTCGCGCCGCCTCTCCCCTGCGCAGGCTTCCATTCTGCTCCGGCGCACATGATAATCAATCCCAATTCCCGGTGATTTTCATTTATTTTTTTTCTGCTCCCTGGGCTCCAGGATGTTATTTTTAGTAGGAGAACTGCTATAAATATTTATAAAGGGCAGTGACTGGAATGAAGTGAGAGGCCCCACAGCTGGCTCTCTCATCGCCCCCCACCCCTCGGCAACACACACGCGTCGGCAGACCCCTGCCCGCTGCGCGGAGGCCGGTGCAGAGCCGCTGGGCTCAGCCTGTAGCCACCCATGGAGAGGGTCACATGGAAACCTCGTGAGCCGGCAGTCTGGGGAACCCAGGGGTGGGGGTAACTGCGTCCTTCTCTCTCACAGGCCGTGCCGTTTCCGTTTCGCCCACCCCTGACGGAGGAGAAGGCTTGTGTGAGGGAGGGCTGTGCCCCTCTAGGCCCAGCGCCTCCATGTCGTGAATGCTGGGTGTGAGGGGGCAGGTGCAACTCGGATCACTCCAGCTGTGTGAGCGAAAAGGAAGTGGGAGTCGAGGAGAAGCCCCTGTGCCTGTGCAGGGCTTGCCTCCCACAGCAGCTCCTGAGCACGGCCTAGGCCCAACTGTGACCAGCAGGGAGCAGAGACCCTCAAGAGCCAGCAGGGGCTCTGGTAAATAAAAGCACCGGTGAAAATGTTCTCCCACACACTGAGGAAACGGGGACCCAGCCTTGCCCGGAGGGCCAGAGGGGACAAGAATGAAAGTGACCATATGGAAAGTTCTGGGGAACACTCTGTGCCAACCAACGGTGAGATTAGGTATGGGAGGGCTGCAACAAGTCTCAGGGATGAATGACCCTGGGGGGGGACCGTATGCTCCCCCACAGTCCTGACTTCCCACACCTTGTACCCTGCCCCCACCTCCCAGTTCCTCACGTGGACTGCTTGCTTCTTCCAGAGCAGAAAGAGCCAAAGAACAGTCAGATTGAAAGCACCAGTGGTTCCAAAACAGCCAAGTGCTCAGGCCAGCTAAGGTGCACATGGTGTGTGGCAGTGTCCTCTGGGCCCGGGGAGGCCGCCCGATTCCACCTCTCAGCGGGTCCTTGCACCAAGGAGGAGCCTCGAGGTCTTCGACCACCGGAGAGGCACGGGACTCCCAGCCTCTCCCCTGCACCTGGGATGAGACGGGGATGCGCTCAGATGCCAGCATGACGGTGCCTGGGGTGCTGGGTTTTGTATAAAGTCCGGCCAACAGCCGCGCTCTTCTACAGCTAGAACATCCACCGTTATCTAAGGCCCCACGGTGCCTCCTGACTTTTTGGCTGCGGTGGAATGCGGGTCCCTATCAGAAGTTTGAAGCGGGTCCCTTTGCTCAGCTCTGACGTAGAACACAGGTGTCACCTTGTTGGGGAGGGGGCGTCCTTCTTAATTGCTCTGTGACCATTTAGGGTTCGAATTTAACCTGAGTAGAGGATCTTTTCAAAGAAGTGACAGATACTGTCAAGACCATCGGCCCCCTGGGCTGGTGTTTTGTGGCTGTGAAGACCCCTAGAGAGGTCCTGAATGCCACCTGGATCTTGAGGAAGTGGTGGCTCCACCAAGCTCAGGTCCAGAAATCCCAGCCGGGCCCAGCTTCCGTGTACTTTCACAGCCCCCTCATCGGCTGCTCGTGTTTTATCCCCTGGCAGACTCCCCCTCTTTTGCATAGCTTACTCCCTGCTCCCGTAGTCGTAGCAGCTTCAGAAAGGTACAGTTGCTATGGCAATGCCTGGAGCCATCTGAATTCCTGCGGCACCTTCTGGAAGCAAAGGACTTTATGAAGAACCAGTCATGGATTCCAAATCTAGCTTCCCCTGGCCTCTCCCAAGCCAGGGGCCAGATGATGATTATGTACTGGAAGTGTGGGAGGTAGGTAGCCCATCTTCCTTGGGAAGATACCCCCATAGCTGCAAGCCACGTGTCCCTGAACAGATTCTCTGTGTGTGGATCAGAGAACTAAGTGAGGTTTCCTCCCTGGGACTCTTAGGTAAGACACGACACCAGTGGTCCTAAAACTCAGGATCCGAATCTCCTGGAAGTCTCATTAATCTATAGAGAGCTAGGTCCCAGTTTCTGATTCGGTAGCCGTTCTCACAAGCTCCTGGGGGGTCCGAAGACTGCACCGTGAGGACCACTGAGCACACTTTGGAGTAGGAGCCACAGCCAGTCAGGTGGAGACAGGCCGGAAGGAGTGGTCATTCTAAAGGAAGAAAAAGAACAGGCCTCAGCAATCATTTTTCTTGGTTAGGTGCCCTGGGAAACACATGCCGTGACAGGGGTCCTACACTTTTTGGGGGGGGTCTTCAACAATCAACAAAGACCTACCCTCTAGGCGTGTAAGAGCGGGCCTCATTACAAGGCAGGCTGTGAACGTACAGAAGACCGAGATCCCAGACGCCCAGACTGGGTGGGTTTTGCACAGTCTAGAGTCTTAGCAGTTGGGGAGGTTATGTGCTAAAGTGCTTTCCCCCAGAATGCAAATACCATACTCCAAACCCCGTGTTTGGGCCCCAGCTGGGCTGCTGCCTCTCAGCCTACCCAAAGCTGAGAGTATAATTGTAAGAGGAAATGATGACTGCAGCGCCCCAGACAAGGGTTGCAGGCCGCCTCGGTCAGGAAGAGCAGATCCCACGGGTTCTGACGCCTTCTCTGCACACTTAGCCCTGGCTAGAACACCAGGCCTGTGGGTGGTGGGCTTGGGGTCTCTCCTGCCCAGGAGTGCTTACGAGCAGGTGGGATGTGCTGGTGCCATCAGCCCTGTGCCGCCTCCAAGGGGGCACAGCCAAGATAGGGCCATGGTGCAAAAGACATGGGGCTCAAATCAGTTTACAAGTTCCAAAAAACAGTACTAGTTTCCCAGTTGTGTGAAAGTTTGGATGGGTGGTGAGTGCTTTCATTTTGAAAATACATAATTCCTAGGGGACACCATGAGGCGAACTGGACTTGCTGGGGGTGGGAGGGGGCTTTGAAAGGCAGGCACCAGATGGCCATCTCGGTATTTCTGAAGTAAGGGGAGCCTAGTGCTGCTGAAGGTAGACATTAAGAAGGGACAAGTAGGGGCATCTGGCTGGCTCACTCGGTGGAGCATGTGACTTGATCTTGGGATCATGAGCTCAAGTCCTATGTTGGACGTAGAGTTTACTTAAAAAAAAAAAAAATGGGGGCAGGGGGACAAGTAGCTTGGAGTGGGACCGTCATTCTATTGAGAAGATACTTAGGAGTTCTGTGTGCTGAGCACCAGGCCCCCTCCTCGGGTCTCTAGGGCCTTAGAGGTTAAGGTTGGTCTGAGTTCATAACTAGGGAGTGGGATGGGCTTGGAGGGCATGCACTGCCCTCTGAAGCCAATCAGACTGGGGACCGTGGACACAAATGGGACAGGGGAAGGGAAATGGTCACTGCTCAGAGTGGTTCTGGCCGCGTGGAAGTGTTGGTCTTCAGGCCCGTGAATGGACAGATGGGAGTGGAGATGAGGAAGGGTCTGCCTGTGAGTTGAAAGGTCCACAGCCCCTGGGGCCCAGGCACACTGCCAGCTAGTAACAGTTCGTTGTGATTCAGTTAGAACCTGAATCCCCCGCGGCCCCGGCAGAGTCCTCATCCAGAGAAACCTGTTAGGGTGTTGGCTTCCCGCCACTGCCGCAGCTCCCGGCACAGTCTGTAGGCCTGTGGCCTGTGGGGCGATGGGTGGGCAGACACACAACCCTGATTGTGGTGAGGGGTACAGGGAGTCTTCAGTGCACGTTCCCACAGGGGGACCCTCTGGCCCGCAGCTTTAGGTGCTGTGGCCTACCCCCTCGGCAGAGTGAATCCACAAGCTCAGCACAGGACCTGGGGCGGGGTGCTGGGGGGCACTTCTGCACCAGCAGGCTTCAAGATCACCTGTCCCCAGTGGGCTTTTCGTTCAGGTCCCAGCTCCTGGGGCATGCCGGCTGCACCGTGGCCTGGTCCTAAGACCTCTGTCACTCAGTCTTGGCCTCCCTCCCCGCTACAGCAGGCACACTTGCACACCAGGCATCCATCCCCTAACAGGAAGAACACAGTCTGGGTCTGGGATCCAACATTTCTGGAAGTCCTCCCCACCCACAGCTGCTGCTCCTGGTCAAGGCCACCATCAGAAAGCCGGTCCTGTGGTTCCCCTTCCACAAAGCCCGACAGCCACCCGCGGCGATGGGTGGCATCTTGTTCACCTGTGCACGGATGGCCTGGGTGAGGCCTGCCCAGGGCCCTCAGCCCGTGAAGTGTCACCTCTGTGAGGCTCCCAGGAAGGGGCTGGCCCTTTGGAAGAAGGCATATG